GCTGCTCCAGCCTGCTGGAGCAGCCCCAGCCTTCAGTGTGGGGAGGAGAAGGTGCTCCAGCCTGGCCTTGGCTGGCAGGGGGCTGGCAGGGCTGGCTTTGCCCTCCCGCCCATACCCCCTTTAATCAGTTAACCAGATAAACAGGATTTTACATCCCTATACTCCATTGAGCCACACTGACTGTTCAGGAGAGATAAGACCCTCCTTTCATGCTATACAATGGCAAATGAAAAGGGCTAGAACTCTAGAATGGCAGAGCCCTCCACAGTTACTAAAGTGGAACATGGCTAGGACCCCCTATACTAAATCTCTTCCAAAAGGACGTTGACTTCTCTTTGGGATTCTCAGTATTACATCTCATAGTGCTGAACTAGTCCCTTGGCATGGCACTGACTCAAAGCTATGCCATTGCTGAATCATCACTGCTTTCTGCAGCACAAAATCACCTCATGTGAGCGCTGACCTTCAGGGGGTGTGACCTGATGAAATCCTAGTACAAATTACTTTCCCTGGTAGACAAACCAAAGGAGGAGATGGAAGTGGAGAACTGCTTTCTTGGCAAATAAGAACATTGTTTGCTTATTTAGCAGTAGATAAACTTTACACAAGGAGACAGTTATTGTTATTGCCTTTTTAGGTACTGATTATAAACTAATTCTCACATGTGGCAGAGAGCAACATGACTGTGTATGCAGCACTTCCAAATGTAAACAAGTCACAATCCCAGGAGAGATGATCTTGCAGGCTGCAAGATCAAAGGGCTGTTGCTCTTCAAAATAAATATCCAATACAAATACAGAACCTTTAGCTCTGATTCTCTTCTGGTGTAAAGCAGGTTTAATTCCAGTGAAGTTAATGGGGCTAGGAACAGCTGTAATCAGATGGTTGATTAGAAAGTCAGTGCTAGAGGGAGAAGGGGAGGGCAGTTCCCTGAGATGAAAAGGAACTTTTGGAAAGGGTTGATGTTCTTCACCCAGAAGAATGAAAGGGACAAAAGAAGCTTTATTTCTCCCCCAGAGGGCTGGCTGGCCATCCCAGTTCCTTCCTGCCTGAGTTATACTGCTGGGGTTTGTGTTGTAATTTGGAGTATAGTGCTACAGCTGGGATAGAGTTTTTTTCTTTCTGTATTTTTTTAACCATTTTAAAATAAAAATAAAGGACCTTCCTCACCAGGATAGTGTATTGTGAGGGAGTGATGCTACCGTTCTGTGAAAACGTGGCAGGCTTTGCAGCGAGCAACCCAGAACTGGAGCTAGATCAGATTTTTCAATCTGCAAGTGATCAGATTCTGAAGCACTCAGTGCCCCCACCGCTGTGCTAGAAGTCTCATTCTTTTGGATTTCAGTGATGCTACTTGTAGCGTTAGGTGCTATTCAACATAAAGCAGGGTGGTCAGAGAGGCACTCCTTTTCCTCTACTATCTGTAATATGATGTCCACTCTTTTTTCCCCACCTGTTTGTCAGTCTTTTGCTGCAAGGACAATTTTTAGCATGCCCATGCACTTTTATTTAATGGGGGGGGGGGGAAGATGAACTGCCACTTTTCTCTGATATTTGTCCACCTAAACTATTTCAAAGCACATCACTATCTAGGAAATATCAGCTTTGCATTTTAAGAGTGCCTGTTTCCCCTGTTCTCTTCTCTTGCCTCTTCCTAGACGTGCACACATTCATTCTTCACCTCCCTTGGCTTATCATCCCATCCCCAGTGGTCTTCTTACCCCTTTCTTGGTTTCATTCTCATGGCCTGGGAGTGTTGCCAACATTGCTTTGAAACAGTTTATGATCCCAGTTTTATCTCTACCTCACTCGAGGGAGTAAAGGTACCGAACAGTATGGCTATGTCACTGGCAGCTTCTTGTGCAAAAAGTCTTCCACAAGAGAGCGTCTACACTGCCATGTGCTTTTGCACAAGAGCGTCTATGGCAGTGTGGATGCTCTCTTGCACAAGAAAGCTCTGATGGCCATTTTAGCCAGAGGGCTTTCTTGCGCAAGAAATTCATGTTGCCTGTCTACACTGCCCTCTTGCGCAAGAGGGCTTATTCCTCGTGGGGAGAGGAATAACTCTTCCGGAAGAAGCCCTGTTTTCCGACGCTGTACTGTAAATTTACTTGCGCAAGAACGCGTGTGCCGTATAGACACCTGGCAAGTTTTTGCG